GAAATAAAAGAGGACATGAGGAAATGGAAAGATATCCCCTGTTCATCGGTCGGGAGACTTAACATTGTCAAAATGGCAATACTACCGAAAGCATTGTATAAATTCAATGCAATCCCTCTAAGGATACCCATGACATTCTTCAAAGAAATGGAGCAAACACTCCTGAAATTTATATGGAACAATAAGCGCCCACGAATAGCTAAAGCAATTCTTGGGAAAAAGAAAATGGGAGAAATCAACCTCCCTAACTTCAAACTCTACTACAAAGCAGTAATAATTAAAACAGCATGGTACTGGAACAAAGGCAGAACTGCAGACCTATGGAACAGGGTTGAATACACTGACATCTCCCTTCAATCATGTGATCATCTAATCTTTGATAAAGGTGCAAGAAATGTGAAGTGGAGAAAGGAAAGCCTCTTTAACAAATTGTGCTGGCATCACTGGACGGCTACATGCAAAAAATGGGCTCAGAACTCTGCCTAACACCATGTACAAAAGTAAGATCAAAATGGATTAAAGACCTCAACATCAGACCAGAAACCATAAGGTGCATTGAAGACAAAGTTGGCAAAACCCTCCATGACATTGAAGCTAATGGTATTTTCAAAGATGCCACGCCACTGGCCGAGCAAGTGAAAACAGAGATAGATAAATGGGACTATCTTAAACTAAAAAGCTTCTGCACCTCCAAAGAAACAGTGACCAAAATACAAAGACAGTATACAGAATGGGAAAGAATATTCGCCGAATACACATCTGACAAGGGGTTGATATCAAGGATATACAAAGTACTGGTTGAACTCCACAAGAAGAAAACATCCAACCCCATCCAAAAATGGGGCAATGAAATGAACAGAAACTTTCTCAAAGAAGAAATCAGAATGGCAAAAAAGCACATGAGAAAATGCTCTACATCATTAATCATCAGGGAGATGCAGATCAAAACCACAATGAGATACCATCTCACACCTCAGAGACTGGCCCACATTCAAAAGAACAAAAGCAACCGATGCTGGCGCGGATGTGGCGAGAAAGGGACACTCCTTCACTGTTGGTGGGAATGCCGACTGGTTCAGCCCTTTTGGAAAACAGTATGGACGTTCCTCAAAAAATTAGAAATTGAGCTCCCATTTGACCCAGCGATACCACTCCTGGGAATATATCCCAGAGAGGCAAAAATGTGTAGCCGAAGTGACATCTGCACTTGTTTGTTCATTGCAGCACTCTTTACAGTAGCCAGAAACTGGAAGAGACCTGAGTGCCCAAGAACAGATGACTGGTTAAAGAAGCTTTGGTACATCTACACAATGGAGTACTATGTAGCTCTTAGAAAAGATGAAGTCATGAACTTTACATACAAGTGGTACAATATGGAAAGTATCATGCTAAGCGAAATGAGTCAGAAAGAGAGGGATAGACATAGAAAGATTGCATTCATCTGGGGGATATAAAGTAACAAAATATGAGATTAATACCCAAGAATAGCTGAGATCAACACCAGGAGAATTACTCCATAACTTAGAGGCCAGCCGGGTATTCTAGGGGAAAGGGCATCTCAGAGAGAGAAGGGAGCACCAAATAAAGGGTGTTTGGAGGATCCTCCCAGGAGGGGAGATGCATGTTGAAAGTAGACTATGGACTGAACATGATTGCCACTCAATGCCTCTTTTTCAGACCACAACACCCAAAAGGAGAGAGAGAACAAAAGGGAATGCCCTGCCACAGAGGCAGGGTGGGATGGGGGAGAGGGAGGTGGGAGGGATATTATCCATGGTGGTGGAAAATGGGCACTGGTGGAGGGATGGTATTTGATCATTGTATAATTGAAACCCAAGCACAAAAAATTGTAAATCTACAACTGTACCTCATGGTGTTTCACTAATAAAAATTTTAAAAATATATATATTACACACAATACCAGCTGTATAAGATACACATCTTAATGGACTCCTTCTTCCACAAAGCACCTCCAATATTGTAAATTATTGAAGTAAGTAGTAAGGCTTAACTGAAAGCAAAATAAGATCTGTTACTATATTATAAATTGTGTTTTTTTTATTTAACTTAATGTAATATATTTTCTTGTTTTGCTTTCACGTAAGAAAATTAAAACTGCTGGCATTAATACAAAAAAAAAAATACTCGAATATCCCCATAGAGGGAAGAGTTCAGAGCTTCACTGAGTGTAACTAGAAGGAGAGAGGAAGGGAGGTAGGGAGGGAGAGAGGGAGGGAGAAAGGGAAATGAGCCCCAGATGAGCAATCAGTGAACATAATTTTTCAGACTCAAGGAAGTAGTTTTTCATGAACATCATAGTGATGTGCAAAATGCAAGTCACAGTCACAGTCCTCCCGTTGTTCATTGATTTGCTCAAGCAGGCCCAGTAATGTCTCCATCATGAGACTTGTTGTTAGTGTGTTTGGCATATTGAGTACGTCACGGGTAGCTTACCAGGCTTTGCCGTCACTGTCACTGTCACTGTCCTCCCGTTGTTCATCGATTTTCTCGAGCAGGCCCAGTAACGTTTCCATCGTGAGACTTTGTTGTTACTGTGTTTGGCATATTGAATACACCACGGGTAGCTTGCCAGGCTTTGCCATGCGGGCGAGATACTCTCGGTAGCTTGCTGGGCTCTCCCAGAGGGGAGGAGGAATCGAACTCAGGTCGGCCATGTTGGCTGCGTGCAAAGCAAATGCCCTACCCGCTGTGCTATCACTCCAGCCAAAATGCAAGTCATAAATTATAAAAGAGAAAGCAAGGCTGGAAGGAAAAAAATGAATCATGGGGAGAGAAAAGAAAGCACCCCTCATTTAAATCTAAAGAGGGAAAGGAAAAGCAAGCGAGTGAGCGACTCCATCCCAGGTGGTTTCACAGAATCACCTGGAAGTGTTTCAATACCAACAGGGCCAGCATGTCACGCACCCTCCAGCCTCTGCTGCCTCCTTCCCCCAGTAGGATTCTGGCTCCGGAGGCCTTGAGCAGGGCCCACAGTGGAAACAAATCACATTTTGGCCCCTCACTGCTGCCTCCAAGCACAGGGGAGCTAAGACTCTGGCTATGTTGTCTGATTTTCTGCATCTCAATTTCCTCCCTGGTGAAACAGGAAATCCCACTCATGAGCATTGACAAGATCAGCAGATATGCTACACGTCCTAGCAGAGGCTCTTAATATGTCCCTCTCTGATCTGCTCATGCATGACACACTCAAATCCATGCTCTTTCTACTGAACCACAGACCAAGAAAATACCCACCATGTGTGTGTTGGGAGGGGGGGGATATGTGGATTATTACAGAACAGGAACTGTGTCACATAATAAGTGTGACATAAAGAATGGCCATGTTGTAAGAGCCAAAACTCTGCCACAGAGGTAGTTTTCTTCCAAACGTTTCTCGGCCACCACCATACCTGAGGCTACTCTTTCCAAAAAGTGACTCTAGACCCAGAGGAACAGTGCTGAGTACCTGCCTGGCAAGCATATGGTCCTGAGTTCAAGTCCTGTGTCCCACATGCATAGATCATGATCCTGGAAGCTCTGCCATTGGCGATCTCCAATGCCACAAGCCATTTCCAACTTGCACCATAGTCAGACACATGTAAGCACCATAAAAGGCGGTTGTTATCCCACCCAACCGTGAGCACCATGCCTAGAGAAAAAATAGGTGTGAGAGAGCCAAAATCAGAAAGTGCTATAGTCCCTAAATGAGAATATATGCAAGCACTATCGCAACCCCCATAGGTGCCCCAGCCATTACCCGTGAGCCTCAACTTCGGGTGCAAATCCATAAGAGCATGTGTGCAAACTTTGGTGAATGCAGCAGTCAAGTGTGCTAACATCACAGCCTGATTTACAACCCCAGTGACACAGCCAAGCTAGTGTGCAAGCCCTCTCAGTGCAATATCAACAACAAAGATTATGGGGGCGGGAGGGTTGTCTTAATTCATTAAATCTAGTGTGATTCTGCCTCCCTGAATTGAAAGTTCCTCTGGGAGAGTATGGGGAATATTGTCTGCCATGAAGGCAGGGGGAGGGTGGGGAAGGGGGTGGTATACTGTAGATATTGGTGATGGGGAATGTGCACTGGTGGAGGGATGGATGTTTGATCATTGTGTGATTGTAACCCAAATATGAAAGCTTGTAACTATCTCATGGTGATTCAATAAAATTTTTTTAAAAAATGTTCCTCCAGAGTTCTCAAGCCAACACCTTGGGCCAACTGCCATTAAAGTTTGCTTGCAAGCCACAAGCATAAACTCTGACTTGTTTGCTTTGAAATAAGAGTTGCCACAGACAAGAGGAAGGAAAAATCTCAGGATTCAAGAAGGTCAGAAATGCAGGCTACCCCCATAACTGGAAAGCAGGAATTAATGGAGGGTCTTTTCAGAGCCCCGCCATGGGAATTAATCAACCCATCTCAATCTCCATGAATTTTAACCAGGAGCCAATTTGTTTTTCAAATTTGTTTTTATTATTTAGGCACTGTGATTTACAAATGTGTCCATAATAGAGCTTCAGGCATACAGTGTTCCAACACCAAACCCACCACCAGTGTCAACTTCCCCCACCACCACCACCCCATAGCCTGTCTCCTTAACAGGCACGTTTTGAAGTTTAGTGATCGTGATTGGGTCCCACACTCACAGTATCAATGGCTTCATGGTTGAGATACATATATATACCACACCTCCATACCACTTGGCCCTGTAACCTCCCGTCCACTTCTTCTGACTTCCCCCCTCCATTTCTGTCTTTCCATGGACTTTTTTTATTTTTCTTTTTTTACTATAAAAAATCTAGGGCCAAAGGTTTGCCTGCCTTTGATCCTTTGCATGTCCTTGTCATATTGTTCTATATACCACAGATAGTGAGATTAGGGGCCAGTTTCCAAGAAGACGGTGCCTGATGGGCCAGGATTCATACACAGGTCCCCCCCTTGGTTTGAGGAGTCCCCCCAGTGAAACCACCAAGACCACATTAACATGGGGAGGATTCTCAGACCAAGTAGGAGTAGCAGCCGAAATGGGGGGATATTCAGGAGTCAGGAAGGGCAAAACACCCCCATTCCATTCCTACTTTTGGCATGATGTAGAAGGGCCCTTCTACATAGCATAATGGGGGCAGAAGAGGATTACATTATCTCCAAGGCCAGGAGGAAGTGGTGAAAGCAGTGCTCACTCAACTAAGGGAAAGCATGAGCTTTCTGAACCAGAAGACTAGAGACCCACCCCTAGAACCCTCAGCCTGGACCCTAACTTCCTCCATTGTTTCTGGGACATCAGTTTCCCCAAAGAATGTTAAGTCCCATGTGTGAAGCCCAAAGAGTCTTCTCCCAACCTCTGGCCTTACCCCACTAACCTCTCTGCTGTCTTTGCTGGTTCTATGGGTGTGGGCAGCTGAGGTAAGGGTCTTGGTTCTTGGGAGACAAGAAAGCGGAGAACTATACAGGGCTACAAGGAAGATCATATTCACCTTGTGTTTTATTTTGTTTTTGTCTTTAATCTCATTCTTTATCTATTTGTTCTCTACTCTGCCTTCTCGGAAATGTGCATTCCCTATGGGCAGAAGCCTTGTCTTTTGCCATCACTCTTTCCTGCCACCTCATGCCTGGGGCAGTGACTTTCTTACCAAGCACTTAAGAAAACATTGGTGGCAGAAGGAACAGCGTGCAAGGAAGACAGGCCACACCCCACCACCTTCTCCTTTGACCCTGAACCAGACAGACAAGATCAGGTCTGGGACAGAGTCAAACCAGGAAGCAGGAGGAAGGGGCTGGATCAGCGCTAGACAAAACCAGACCTGGGCCCCCTCTAGGCTCAGATATCCACTCCTGGACCACTTCGAGTCCCAGTTTTGAAATGGGGATGGATCCCCTACTTCATGTAACAACAACTGAGAATGAAATGTGTCCACTATGCACAGGGTTAAGCGTTTTCTCTCCCCCGCAGGCCCTCATCTCTGTTGTGTGATCTGTCTCAAAGGAAGTCACTTTTAATCAGACAGTGGAATCTGAAGGCTATGTCTCCTAGGGCTGGAGAGCCATGTGTTTCAGGAAAACGCAGCATGGCCAAGCCAATGCCTCACCCATGGGGAGAACAGAAGCATCATGGGGGAAGATGCAAACAGGGCCTCAAAGGTCCCAGGCAAAAGTCTCGAGTTGCAACCTCTAACACAAGTAGCTGGTGGCTAGGAGAAAGGTCATTGTCACATCACCTCTACTTCTGGGGATGCGACCCAAAGTGATACAGAGCAGGAAGTTGGAAAAGGGATTTTATTCACTTCATCAGAAACAGCTGGCGTGAGTCAAGGTCCAGAAGGGGACAGAGCTGGGGTGACTTACAAAAAAGGATCCCGCAAAAAGCTCACCCATTCTCTCTATCACCTCTGACCAGTGGCGTACATCGGGATCCCAAGAAGAACACCCCACTTCTTTTGCCCCATCAGTGCAGGCACAGATTCAGATAATGTGTTCTTGCCAGATATTAGATTCTCCAGAACAGGAATATGAAATCAAATCAATATTCCAGACTCTCAGATCAAGACTGACTTGACATACTCGCTGTGATTCTGGATGAACAGTCAGGACCACAGTACTCAGGAGTGTCCATCAGAAAGTATCCCCCACATTCTGGAAGGCCATGTGGAATTCTCAAATGCTGGCTTCCTCTCAGGAGCTCCACATTCTAGAGGGCCTAGACCAGCTGAAAATCTCTTGTCCTGGGTAACCAAAAGGAGCCCAAAGTGTTCTCTCTCTCTCTCTCTCTCTCTCTCTCTCTCTCTCTCTCTCTCTCTCTCTCTCCTCTCTCTCTCTCTCTCTCTCTCGCTTTTTGGGTCATACCTGGTGATGCTCAGGAGTTACTCCTGTTTCTGAACTCAGGAATTGCTCCTGGCAGTGATCCTTGGGGGACCATATGGGATGCTGGGGATTGAACCCAGGTTGGCCACATGTGAGGCAAATGCCCTACCTGCTATATGCTCTGAACCCAGAGGAGCCCAAAGTTCTAACCTACCAAAAATAAATCAAGCCCTAACATTCCGATGGCTCACCAAGGGTCCAGCATTCTAGAATGACACACAGGACCCCAATATTCCAAATAATAGATGAAATGCTCAAAGTTCTATAGGTCAGCTTTGATGTTCTCCATGCCAAATCAGTAACCCAATGTTTAAGACTATCCAATGCATCAGCACAGACCTCTCCCCGCTAGGGCACTGCCCACTCAGAGCTCTGTGGAGGGCTGCTCTCTCCCAGGCCCCTTGTCCTGGTCGGGACTGGGCACACGGAAGGAAACGTAGGGACATGTCTTGGTGTTGAGGCAAACCAGCTTCTTCAGGGTGGCCGTCTTGACGATGTTAAAGCCCATCTCACCACCAAATGTACTTGGCTTCCAGTACTCCGGAGAACAGATGGGATTCCCTAGGAGACCCTTGAGGGAAAAGGGAGCCCCAATTTCTATCATACTCTCCCCAAAAATGGAGTTTGGGTGACACTTCTCCAGAAGCAGCCCCGGGTAGAACTCCAAGGCATCGATGTCTCCATACAGTTCCTCCAACTCAGCAGCCAGCACTGTCTCCCCTACAACAAGGAAAAGATAGAGTCAGAGTCAAGGGGACACTAAGTAGATCTAGGGAGAGAAACTTCCAGACGTAGCCTTTTCCAGGGGGAAGAAAGGATCTCATAAGAGATATCTAGGCTAGAGAGACTGTACAGCATGGCGGGCGCTTGCTTTGCCTGTGACCAGCTCAGGTTTGATACCAAACATCCCTTGATACTTGGAGTGATTCCTGAGTGTCAAGGGTTATCCCTGAGGATCCCTCAGTGTGGTCAACAACTTAAAAAGATATCTATAGACATGCGGGCACCTGGCCTCACGCACCCTCTTCCAGGCTCTCACATAAGGAAAGAATCTGCTGCTGAAGAAGGAATCCAGGAATAGCCTGAATGTGCCCCCAAACAACTGATGACCTCAAGCAAACCCTTTAGCTTCTCGACTACTAGCTGCCTGTGAGTTACAGCAAGGTCTGCCTGCACCTCCTGCTGCCTCCCTTCCCAGACAGCTGCCACGGCCTCATCCTGCCCCTGAGCCCCTTTATCCTGGAGTCCAAAGATGTCAGGAAAGTGTCCACCAGAAAGTCACATTCCAGAGAGCCACATGGAATTCTAGCTGAGCAAAAGGAGCCCAGAGTTCTGGCCTATGCTCGCAGAGACTTGGTAGTAATGCTCTCTCTGGATGTCTAGTCTGTGATGGGGAATTCAGAAGGAGCAAAGATTGCTCTTCCAGAATTACAGGGAAGGACCAGAAAGATGGTTCCAATGACTGGAGTTTACATGCAGGAGGCCCCTGCACCACTGCATGAGCACTGAGCTGGATGGAAGCACCCCCTGACCTGAGCTACATGAGTGGGCACCCCTTCCTTCCCCACCCCTAAATAAAAAGGAACTAGAACTAGAATTGCAGGGATTTCTGTGAGAGCTAAATATTCGTAGGAAATGACCATGTGGAGCAGATATTGGGCTTCCCTATTCATGGCTCAGGTCACACCCTGCTCAAAACCGTCCCATGTGTGACAAGGGTTCCCGGACACTCCCAGTTGCCCAGCAACTGGAGAACCTGAAAAACAACAACTCTCCAGAGACAGTGTCTTGGGTACACACCACCACTGAATGAAAATGCGGGATGCGGTGTGTGTAATTCACTTTCTAAATGATTCTTAGGTAATAGGTCAACTGTGAGTATTTGGGATCCACTAGACAGAATAAACCCCGAAATCGTTAGCCTAGAATTTGAGATCCTGAACAACTGTCCCTGATCCCCCAATATGAATTCCACACTCATCCCCACAGAAGCCTTCTTGTTCCAGCCACACCTATGACTGTTCCCCAGAAACAGGCCCCTTCTCCAGGACATTTGTGCCTTTGTACTCTCTATTTCTCTATCTCGAAAGCATGTCCTTCTCATCTGCACTCAGAAACTCCTTCATAACCCCAGCTTCCAGCCCAGCAGAGAGGCCATCCTATGAGCCCCCAGCAGAGAGCTGAGCACCAATTGCCTCTTTCTGTTTCCCCCACTCTGCCACTGGTCCCTTGAGGACAGTCTCCCAGAGGCAGTTGTTCACCTGTGAGCTCCTGGAATGAGGTGTAGGGCTTCATGTTGAACCTCTTGCGGTACTCATTGAAAGGTTGCAGCCTCAACTCCCGGGACTCCTTGATGACCTCTACAGCAACATGCAGGACGTGGTGGTCAATGTTTTGTCCCCCACCGATCTGCCAAGAGATAGACACAGCCGTGGTCTGAGAACAGCACCTGACCCGGGAAAAGCACTTCTGGTCAGCTGACCTACCTGTGCTGGGGGTGAAAGTACAGCTCAGCCTAGAAGCTTCTATAGACTGCTGGGTCATGTTCCTGGGAACTCTGAGTCTCAACTTCCTCCTCTTTCAAGTGCAGCATGTGCTGGGAGGAACCTCTTCAGGGACTCACCATGTCACACTCTCCCAAACCCATCGCTTTGGGATGAGGAGTCCCCAACTTCCTATTCAGGAAGGTTCTAGAGTCATTTGATTCAATAACAAGAACTGTGAAGAAGGTCAGTCTGGCCCTAGCATGGAACTCAAGCAGAGAGGTTGGTCAACCCAGATGGGAAATGAAATCTGGAGGGACTGAGGGCTTCTGAGAGTGCAACAGTCAGAACAGATGGAGCGGACGTTGGTTTTTGGGGACCAGAGCGCTGTGCCTCTCCTAAGATGTTTTTTAAATTATACCCGGCAAATTGCTGTGTGCTTGTCTCTCTCCAGATCAGTTCCTTATCAAACACAGATGTCTCATCACTGAAGATGAACCTATCCGGGAACCCATTTGCATAGCTTTTTATCCTCTGCCTCAGCGATCCAAAAAAAATGTACTGAGCACCTGAGATGGAGTCATAAAACCCAAATCCCCAGCCACAATGAAGAGCAATTCAGTATTAGAAAGTAAGGAACACAAATTCTGAGATCTAGGGCCAGAGAGAGAGTCAACGGGCTGAGCACATACTTCCCATAAGAGAAGCCTGACCTCAATCCCCAGGACCACCAGGTTCTCTAAGCACCACCAGGAGCAACTCCCAAGCTCTGAGCCAGGAGTAGCCTCTGAGAAACACTGGGCAGGCTGCCCCCACCCCCAGAAAACACCATAGGGGGCCGGAGTGCTAGCACAGCAGGTAGGGCATTTGCCTGGCATGTGCCAACATGGATTCGATCTCCGGCATCCCATATGGTCCCCCGAGCACCGCCAGGAGTAATTCCTGAGTGCAAAGCCAGGAGTAACCCCTAAGCATCGCTGGGTGTGACCCAGAAAGAAAAAAAAAGCACCATATTCTATTAGGACAAGGTAAAGTCACCCCTGGGAGCAGAGGTAATCTCTGATCTTCCTCCTTTCTTCTGCCAAGGAAGGAAGCAAAGAGGAGGTAAACTCTTATCAGGAAAGGGAAAGCCCTAATTTATACACAAGTTTAGCTTAACTACACTTGGAATTTAACGCTGAGGCGTCAGGGCGCTGCCTCTATAAGGAGGGAGAATGAGGTTTAAAACCCCAGGAAACCTACAAAAACAGAGAAGTTTCGGGGGGGGGGGGGTGCAAAAAATGATGTCTAAGCAGTAAGGAACCTTATTCCCTAGAGAGGAGGAACCGAGCATGTCAGTGCTCGGGGAAGAATGGGGCTGGATTTGAACAAGGGTCATGGAGGAAAAGAGGAAGATCACAGCGGGTGCACAGTCAAACACCTGGACACAGGGCAGGCAGAGGTTGGTAGCAATTCAGCTCTTGTCTTTACAAGCCCTAGGGTTGGCTGCTGTGGATGGACTTGTGTCCCTCAAAAATTCCATATCAAAGTCCTAACCTCAGCACTGCTGAATGTGACTTTGATTGGAAAGGGCTGTAAGCAAACTAAGATGAGCTCAGGCTGCCCTAGGATAAAGTACCCACCCAGTGACTGGCACCCTAATAAAGAAATTGGGGGACACGGTGTTGGCACACTGCTGCTACTACCAGCCCAGCAGCACCATAGATTGCCAGCAACCCCCAAAAGCAGAGAGAAAGCATGGAACAGACTCTCCCCAGTAGCCCTCTGAGAGCAGGTTCCAGCTTGATTGTGGACTTCTGGCCTCTCGGGCTAGTCACTGAGTATGCGACCCTTTGTTATGGCAACCTAGGAGATGAATACAGGGGACTTAGGGGAGCTCCTGAAGCAAGATGTCCATTTCCTTATAGGCCAAAATGGGGAAGTACAAAGCATCCACTTGATGTGACTGTGTGAAAGATCTGAGATCATGTAAGCACATGATGCTCACAGTGCTGGCCGCCCCCAGATTCAGAGCCCTGTGCTGGGAAGCCCTGAGACCACGTCTACATTCTTGGGGATTCTCAGCATCCACCACACACTTCTGCCAGCCTCCTGCCTTGGGCCAGCACAACCCCAAGGCTCCTCACACACCACCACGACTAAAATGCTTTGGAAACCATCTGTGCCCCTTGCAAGAAGCTGGTGTCTGTGTTCATATCCCCCCAGAGAATAGTCCTAAATTCCCTGCAGCTGCCTCCATGGGCTTCAGCATATCCTAACTCAAGCCAACGACAGAGAAAACTTCAAAACCACCGCTCCAGCACTTTACTTTTTTTTGGGGGGTGGGGGGATAGGGGGTGTTCACCCTGCAGTGATCAGGGATTACTCTTGGCTCTTCACTCAAAGATCTCTCCTGGAGTGATAAAGGGACCATATGAGGTGCTAAGGATCAAACCCAGGGAGACTATGTGCAAGGCAAGCGCCCTACTTGCTATAATACCTCTCCGACCCCTGACCCCTTCGCCACTTCTTAATGAGACAGGGACACAGATTAAAGGGAAGCAGGGACAGAGGGTAACAGAGATCTGGGGTGAGGAGCGAGCTGGCCAGGAATTCTCAAAAAAAAGGGTTTGTTCCAAGGTTCTTGATTTTCTAAGGCACGATTGTGAACAGGATTGCTTTCCTCATGTCACTTTCTTCTCTCTCATTATTTGCAAATAGGGAAGTCATGGACTTCTGGGTATTGACTTTACAGCCTACAACTTCACTATACAAATCTATTGTTTCTAGGAGTTTCTTGGTAAAGGTTTTAGGGTTTTCTAAGTATAGTATCATATCATCTGCAAATAGTGAGAGCTTGATTTCTTCCTTTCTTACCTGGATTCCCTTAATATCTTTTTCTTGCCTAACCGCTATTGCAAGTACTTCCAGTGCTATATTGAACAGGAGTGGAGAGAATGGCCATCCTTGTCCTGTCCCTGATCTTAGACGGAAGGCTCTTAGTTTTTCCCCATTAAGGATGATGCTTGTGATAGGCTTGTGGTAGATGGCTTTGAGTATATTGAGGAAAGTCCCTTCTATACCCATTTTTGTGAGAGCTTTCATCATAAATGGATGCTGGATCTTGTCAAATGCTTTCTCTGCATCTATTGATATGATCATATGGTTTTTATCTTTTCTTTTGTTGATATGATGGATTATGTTGATTAATTTCTGAATGTTAAACCATCCTTGCATCCCCTCAATACCTCTATTGCAGACCACAACACCCAAAAGGAGAGAGAACAAAAGGAATGCCCTGCCACTGAAGCACGCTTTGGGGGCGGGGGAGGATAGGGTGGTGATGGTGGGAGGGATACTGGGATTATTGGTAGTACAGAATAGGCACTGGGGGAGCGATGGGTACTCAATCATTGTGTGACTGGAACGCAAGCACAAACGTTTATAACTCTGTAATTGTACCTCACAGAGATCCACTAATAATAACACTGTAGCACTGTAGCACTGTCCTCCCATTGTTCATTGATATGCTCAAGCGGGCAACAGTAATGTCTCCATTGTGAGACTTGTTACTGTTTTTGGCATATCGAATATGACACAGGGAGCTTGCCAGGTTCTGCTGTGCAGGCAGGATACTCTTGGTAGCTTGCCCGACATTCTGAGAGGGGCAGAGGATCAAACCCGGGTCAGCTATTTCAGGTGCGTGCAAGACAAATGCCTTACCTGCTGTGCTATCACTCCAGCCCCCATTAATAATAAAAAAAATTTTTTTAAGTTAAAAAAAAAAGAAATTTGACACAAAGAACTATTCAATAAACATTAGGTGTTGCTATAGTTTCTCAGTGGGAAAAAAAGAAAGAAAAAGGGTTTGTGTTTCTTTGCTGGAGCTTCCTTAAGAGTCCCCTGGCCTCCAGGGTGATGGACAGGACAGGAATGGGCTCTTTGGTTCTGGAGGCCAGAAGTCCTAGATGAAGACATTGGCATGTCAGGCTTCATCCTAAGGCGTCCTTCCTTGCCTTGTCATGGTCATCTCCTCTCTGGACCTTTCCTCTCTGCGTGTCTGCAGGCCCTTATGATAATGGGGTCCAGAAATGACCCCGTTAACCTTAGCCACTTCCCTGGAGATGCTATCTCCACAGTCACACCTGAGGTCGAGACTGATGATTTGAATGCGTAAATTTAGGAAGTGGCCATATGTTGTGACTTAGTAAAGATGAGCTGCACCTGGGTACCTTCCCAAGTGTTACCCTGAATGTCCCCCGATCCTGAAATCCCCATGCAAGCCCTTATCTTCCGGTCTCCTCCATTTGGAACACAGGCATGCCAGCCACTGACACTGCCTCATTCCCTCCGTCCTGTCTACCTCTGCTCAGGCTTCACTTCCTTCCCCGTAATCTCCCTGTCTGAATCAGAAGGTCTTTGCGAGTTCCCAGAACACCTTGACTTCCTGAATTGTGACTCCTGGTGGGGAGAGGAACCTTCCGAGCAATGCCCAAGAGGCCCAGGGACCACTTCCTGCAATACTCAGTCAACCAGGGCACAAGGTTCCATGTCCAGGCCAGTGCCAACAGAGATAGAGGCCAACAAGACTACCAGAGCTACACCCAGTAGGGCTTGGGGGAGCAAACTCGAGACCTCAGGGTGCCAAGTGAGTTCTCCAACATTTGAGCCATCTCCCTGAGCCCTCTGTTGTGTTTCTGGGCATGTTCTGACAATTCTCTTAACAACCAGAAAGCCTTTCACCCAGTTGCCTAACACGCATTAAGTGCTCAACTGATCTTAGTGGTCTAAAGACTGTGGTTTCCAGTCTAGGTTGTCAGCACCAAAAAACAGCCACAGGAACCAAAAGGACCACAGTGTTAACTCTATCCACACCCCCCGGAATTCTACCTGGCCCTGCTGAGTGGACAGAACAAGAGAAAAGAAGAAATGAAAGAATAGTAACAACAGCCCTGTAGGGTTGACACTGCACCCTATGTTACAGGAAAGAAAACTGGGACTCGGACCCAGGCCCACCAGCTCCTAACCCCGCCCCCCCCCCCGCCCACTTCCTCCGAGGCTTACCCGGCCTGCGACCTGGTGAGAGAAGGCGTCCACCAGGGCCTCAACCCCGTAGTCCACCAGCATGGAGGTGTTGAAGAGGAACTGCTCATAGCTGTACTCCTGGGGGCCCACCCGGAAGGCGTCGGGCATGAGCGGGTGCCAGTGGTAGAGCTGGTTGAACTCCAGGGCGATGCGGTTCTGGTACTGGAACTGGGCACTGAACAGCAGTTCCGGGTCGAACTTCAGCTGCAGGAAGTAGCCACTCAGCTGCTGCACATATTCCTCAATCACTATCTTGATGGTCTCCCCTACAGACAAAGGGAGAAAAGCATCAGCAGACGGCGTTTAGGAAGCAATGGGTTCAGAGAAAATACTGGCTTTCTGTTTCTTTTGCTGTTACTGTCACCTGGTCTTTTTGTGACAGCTATGAATGTGCAGTTGATTGCTTCCCGTGAGGCTCATGTCCCCAGACAAACCACGAGCTATTCCCCCATCTCCCGAAATCTTCCAAAGGAGGCTGGAGGCCCAGTTGGGCTCCAGGAGGGAAGCATCTGTTCATTAGTGTGTGACCCTTGGATGACCACACTCTCGAGGTCCTCTGCCATGTTGCAGAGCCCATAAAAGATGAGAAATAGAGATTCACTCAGAACTCTGTGTCGAGACACCTTGGGGGGGGGGGGGGGCGTGTGGGAGGAGGGATGTATCTTTCAAGAGACCACTGTGAGACCCACGGCAGCCACAAAGCGGGGCTGAACACTGAGGACGTGGGGTGTCTCCAGTCTCGAAGCTATCCCTCATGAATTATTACTTAGCCACGTTCAGATGAACAGGTTTCTCCTCCGCCGCTTAAATCACCAGCTACCAAGCAAAGGCACCAGGAAAGAAACCAAAGAAACAGCCCATAGCAAAATCACAGCTGGTCACAGCTCCCGAGTGAAAGAAAGTGAAAATGGCTCCCAGTGCGAGGGCCACTTAGTGGACAGACGGGGAGCCACTGGCTCTGTGACGGGCACACCTGGGTCGACTCCTGACACTGCCTTTTCTAGCCACCTGAGCTTGGACTGTGCCCAGACATCTCTCTGAACCTCGCTCTCCTTTTGCCTGTAAAATGTGCCCGGCAGCACTGTCGGTATAACAGTCATCAGTGGGCGCTAGGCAAGGACTGCACCCCAGCTTGGCACCGGGTTTGTCAAGAAGTGGCTGAATGCACAGCGGTGATGGGGGAGAGTGGACACTCCATATGCGCGTGTCACCGAGGACCAGGCCAGGCTGGGAACTCTCTCCTGAGCAGGTGGCAGTAGTGGGAAGCCAGGTGCTTCAGTCCTCTGCTGAACAGCCTTGAAGGATTCACTTTAATTTTATTAATAAATTAATTATTAATTAAAATAGTATTTTTCTCACGAGGGTCTCAGCTCTAATCCCTATGCTCCCAGGAGTTCTGGATGTGTCCTTCTTTGGCAAGAACTTTCTGACCAGAGTGAGCTGGGCAATCTCCCTCCATACACTTACCTTCCCTGGTCAAAGGCTCTTTAGCCCCTTCTCCTTTTCTGTGTATCTTGTTTATGTTGGTGGGGGGGGGGGGGGGTAGGGGGGTACAGACCCAGCTGTCCTCAGGGGCAACTCCCAGCAAAAGAGTGACTTGTCGCAGTGCCTGGGAAACCATGAGGTGCCAGGGACCAAACCAAGGTCTCCCACATGTGAAACATGTACTCAGGCTGTTGCCCCAGCCCCGGCCCTTCCCTTCTTCAGGCTGGCTCTGCCAGGCCCAGTGAATCAGGCTCTATAATTGGAACCAGGTCTGCAGAGAGATGCCCAGAGGTGGGAGAAGAGACGATCGGTGACTCAGAGTCTGGACAGAAGTGTAGGGGGGGGGACAAGCTCCCGGGCAGGAAACCATCTGACATTTTAGGCTGCAGACTCGCCCTCAGAGGGGACACAAAAATATCCCTGAATCACTCGGAAGCTTCCAAACTCCAGGGAGGTAGACAGAACGCAGCAGGGAGCAGAGGTGACCAGGAGTCCAGGCGAGCTGCTGTAGCACAGGCACCCGCAATGCTGAGAGCAACTGGGAGCAACCCCATGACAGAATGTGCTGGGCGTCACCCTGCTACAACCGAAGCATCTCACACATCCATTTCCTGAAGGGCTGCTGGGTCCGAAGGGAGTTCTCAGCCCCAGCTCAACCTCAATGCATCCTGATAACCACCGCTAGCCCCAGGCTCCAGATTTGGAAACTGAGGCTCACCTGGAGGAAGGGCAGGCTCGGGGTCCCAGAGCTCATCATCAGAAGAGCTAGAACTCAGCCAGGGAGTCAACTCAAAAGGGTGGAGCATGTGATACGGATCCAAGGTCCAGGCTCTGGTTCCTGGCACCGTATGGGCCCCCCAACCTGAGAGTCTCTGGGGTGGGGTTGGGAGGTTCTACTAGCTCCAGATATTGCTGGACCCGAGCTGCATGGGCTGATATTTCTAGGGTGGCCCCGGGCTCCCTGAGACCGCTTAGGAGACACCCATCCTAGGACTCAAACCCGAGCTCTGATCCCGAGCTTCCCATGGCTTCTCAGGACAGAGACGGGGCGTGGGCATCCTCACCGATGAGGATGAGGCGGGTGGTCTGGAAGAGCTGCTCGTCGTCCCAGGTGGGGTGCTCAGCCTTCAGCAGGTCACACACTCGGTTGTGCTCCCGCAGCCAGATGGTGGCGTAGAGCATGAGTCCCGGGAGCAGCCCAAACACCTCCTGGCCCACGGCCATCTGGTCCCGGGGTGCGACGGTCCGGGGGTAGTGCATGAGCACTGGCGCCTCCTCCACGGAGGGCGGGTACATCTCTCCATCCAGCACCTGTGGGGTGGGACCGCCTGGCAAGCTGGGCACGGGGTGGAGTGCCCACAGCTGCCACCTTGGGCTCCGACCCGCTCTGCCACACGGGGCCCATTCTGCCAGCTTCTGTTCCCTCCATCTCTCTTGAGATCCCACTACCCGCTTCCAGCCCACTGCTGCTTTCCCCTCCCCATGCCACCCCACCTCCAACCCACCACACAGACACACACACAGACACACACAGACATACAGAGACACACACACATACACACACACACACACACACACACACACACACACACACACCTCCTGCATCAGAGAAACCCTTTTCACTCCTCTCACTCCTTGACTTCAAACCCTCCCAAATCCTCTCCCTCCCTCCATCTCCCTCTGTGTCTGTGTCTGTGTGTGTCTCTCTGTCTCTGTCTCTCCGTCTCTCTGTCTCTCTCTCTCTCTCTCTGTCTCTCTCTCTCTCTCTCTGTCTCTCTCTCTGGTGGGGAGGCCCAGTTAGCTGACTGGAGTCATTTGCCGCCTACACCCACTATCTGCCCACCTGTGCTGGCCCTGGAAAGACCTTTTCCTGCCTGCCACCCTCTGTCCTCTTCCTTCATTCACACTTGCTAAGGGAGCTTGCTCGGAGCTCCCAGACCCTTCCTGGCTTCTCCCAGGAGAAGTCATCACAAGCATAATAACTCATGCCGCAGGTACTTCACTCATTCAATAAACACACCAAGGGCCCGTGATGGCCGAGTACTATTCTTAGCCCGAAAGAGCGGTGAACGTTTTGGCTTTCGTTTTTGTTTAGATTCTCATGGTCTGTGACAGCTGCCACTAGCCCTGGTAAACAGTTGAGTCCTAGAAATGTGGTCTGTGTGGACACAGACCTAGGCTTTAATTTCATTTAATCAAGATTTAATTAAGTGTTCATGAAATCAAATTTCTGGCTATTAGGAAATCTGGCTTAGAATCGCTGGGCATGTGAATCTTTTCAACTATCTATGTTATAAACTCAAAATACAGACACGATATCTCACCCAAAGTGAGATATGTTATGTAAAATGCAGATCATGTTTCAAAATTTTTAAATTAAAAAAAAAATGCAAAGGGCCGTAGAGATAGTACAGCAAGGAAGACTCTCGCCTTGCATGTCGTCAACCCAGATTCAGTCCTTGGTACCCCATATGGTATCTTACATATGGTATCGAAGAGTAAGCTCTTAGAACCACCAGGTATGTCCCAAGAACCAAATAATAATAATAATAATAATAATAATAATAAGGCTGGAGCGATAGCACAGCAGTAGGGAGTTTGCCTTGCATGTAGCCAACAAGGCCGCCCCGAGTTCAATTCCTCCACCCCTCTCGGAGAGCCCAGCAAGCTACCGAGAGTATCTCGCCCGCACAGCAAAGCCTGGCAAGCTACCCACGATGTATTCAATATGCCAAACACAGTAACAACAAAGTCTCACAATGAAGATGTTACTGGGCCCGCTCGAGAAAATCGATGAACAACGGGAGGACAGTGACAGACAGTGACAATAATAATAATAGTAATAATAATAATAATGAATGTGAGGCATTTTATTAATAATGTTCTTATTGATTTCAGGTTGAAATTATAATATCCTAAAATTTTGGGTTAAATAAATTTATTATTAAAATCCTTTTCCTGGGCTGGAGAAATTGTTCAAGGTTAAGGTGCTTGCCTTGTACACGGCCAACTCCAGTTTGATCCCCTGCACTTCATACGTTCCCCCCTAAACACCACCATGAGTCTTTATTTTTTGGCTTTTGGGTTCGCACACGGTGACGCTCAGGAGTTACTCCTGGCTCTGCACTAAGGAATCACTCCTGGCAGTGCTCAGGAGACCAAATGGGATGCTGGGGATTAAACCTGGGTCGGCCACGTGGAGGACAAATGCCCTACCCACTATATTATCGCTCCAGTTCCATGAGCGATTCTTGAGCCCAGAGACAGGAGTAAACCCTGAGTACCATCAAGTATGGCCCAGAAGCGAAAAACAATAAAAATAAAAAAACAAAATCCATTTCTGCAATTTTGCTTCACATCCCCTACGTTCTAGAAAAGTGCTCATTATCTACGTGATACATTACATTTCTACCGGCCAATGATGAGTCACACAAAACATTCTTGTGGAACAGAACCCAGTGTCCTATTCTATGGTCTCTATTTATCTGTGAGTTCGAGAGCAAGCCCCATAACGGCCCCGGTCTCAGCTGAGTCACTTGTCACGGAACATGGTTGAGTCCCATGTAGTGAGAAAATTGCGTGAATACAGTCTGCAAGTATCCATGAGCAATGAACCCCCAAATCCACCTCCCAAGAGGACTCAAGGGGCCACATCTGCTCCTCGGCTGCATCCCCTGCCTGGCGCCTTCCCCAGGTCCACTGTCCCCCTCCTTTCTGGGCCTCTCGGAAACCAGCCCCTCCCCTGAAGACCGTGGACAGTCCTCCTGAAGACCATGGACGGCCCTTCCCATGGCACCCGCACCAGGCCCAACCCTACCTGGTACTTGAGTTTCCCATCCTGAAAGAGCCGCAGCTGATACTGGCGCTCCAGGTTGTCTCCGTAGATGTGGCCGAGGTCTACCTGGGGACAGAGAGAGGGTCCATTCAGACCGTTGGGTCTAACCATGCCCCGGGTGTGCCAAGTGAGGGCCAGAGCAGTCCCGAGGTCCATACTCACCCCGTGCCCCAAGGCCTTGGTGAAGCCAGGACCCATCTTGCCAGAAGTTTTGAAGAACTGGTGGGTGAAGTGTTGGGCGAAGAAGGCAAACATGAGGTTGGTGCCTTGGGGATCAGGGATGAACTTCCTCCTCTGCAGGAAGCGTTCGCCCAGGAGCTGGGCATCTGGCAACTGCTTCTTCCCTGGTTGGGGACGTGGGGACAATCTGTTGCTCTTTCTTGCCTGTCTCACCAGACCGAATGGGTACAAGTGAGGAGCCCAGAGCAGCCTGGCAGAGCCTCTCTGCTGCCACAGAGTCCCTGGCCCCTTCTCTAGTGAAAACAGTGTGCGCCCTCATGGGTGATGTGGTGAGGTATTTGGAATTTGTTTCAAAGTAACTGGCCCCACTTAGGTATTAGATGAGAGACAACTGATAAGATTGGAAACTCTTAAGATTGAACAAATCTTAAAAGTGGGAGATGAGACTTGAAAATGTATATATGTAAATAAGAACAGACTTTTGTCTTGCGTTGAATTGTTTTAATTTCATATTTACATATGCCAAAATTATGTAACATTCACTAACTGGCCCTTACTAATTTATTTTCTAATAATTCTAGTTACCAATTCTTAAAATTTTGTTGAAATAAACAACATAGAGTAAATTTGTTATGTGATAAAGGGGGTAGGTGGGGACTGGGAGGGAAACTGGGGACATTGGTGAAGGGAAGGTCACACTGGTGGTGTTGGAACACAAAATGCTTGAAACAAATGTATAATGAATAACTTTGAAGATCATGGTGATTTTAATAAAAATAAGTTTTTAAAAAACTGGAAGATGCACTCTCAACTTTGGGGTCAATTTGCAACTTTGAACATTAGCTATTAAGAAAGGGGGCTGGGGGAGATAGAGGAGAGGGAGAGGTGGAAGAGGAGAAGAAAGAGAAGGAGGAGAAAGAGGATGAGGAGGAAAAAGAGGAGAAGAGGAAGAAAAGTTGATAAAAAGGAGGATAAAGAGGAGGAAGAAGGGGAAAGAGAGGAGGAGGAGGAGGAGGAGGAGGAGGAGGAGGAGGAGGAAGAGGAGGAGGAAAGAAAAAAGGAGAAGAAAGAGGAAGACACAAAGCAGATAGAGTGTTAACTAGAATTCATCTGCCTCACAGGGACGGGGAGGGGTGGGGGGTGGGGTTTTATTGGGGTTCTTCATGGTAAAAAATAAGTATTGGTAAAGGGAAATGTGTCTGATATTTGCATGACTGAGACATAAACCTGAAAGCTTTGTAACCTTTCCCACAGTGATTCAATAAATAAATAAAAAAAAAAAAAAGAAAGAGGAAGACAAAGACAGATTGAGAAGAAGCAGAAATCCTTGGACTCCTTGGCCCATAGCAATGTAGCCTGTGTTGGGATTATGCCATTTCACTAACTGTGTGAGCAGAGACATCATTTCCTCTCTCTAGCTCTTAGTTTCTTCATCTGTCAAGTGGGGCGTGACACCTATTCAGAGCATTCGAGAAGTGCCTGCACTAACATTCAAAAGGCAGAAAACTGGCACGGAAGAATTTTTTCATTCAAGGATCAGTGAATTTCTTCTGTAGACACTCCACTGCTTTAAAAACCATACTTTCAGTTTGGTGCCAAAGTTTGGTGCCATACTGCCCTATGGTACACAATTTTTTTCTATTGTAGCAAGAAAGCAGCCAGAGATGATAAGAACTCTGAGTGTGTTGGTAATACAATTAGACTCAGTTTACCAAAAGAGGGTATGGGCAAAAGACAGCTGACTGGAGTTTGCCAGCCTTTATTAAATGAGGCAAATCTTCCTGCATTGGGGCTTACGGTGATATCTTATAGCAGGTGTCTGTCATCATGACAGTATTCTGAGGCATTCCTTAATGCTGTGAGATTGATTTGGTGAGCTAGTACCCAACTCTCTCAAAGAGAGGAGTAATTGGATTTTGCTGTCCTGGCCATATAGTTCATAACTAATACTGAAAGCTTGAGACCAATGGAACCTCTCCAAACTGAGACAGCTGACTAGTTTCCTTGGGAGGGCAAAGGATAATCAAGCACCTCAAGAGGAATCCACCAAGAGGGAGGCTGCAGGGAGGGGTCTGCAACCCACAACCTGGAAGTACCCCCTCACAAATATTGAATCAGGGCAGGTTCCAGCCAGGTATTGGCAGCTCAGCAAGAATCACCCACCCACCCCCACAGACGAGTCACTCTTTAGGAGTAGTTACTATAGACAGGAGTACAAATCATCAGAGAAGTGCCTAAGAACATCCAAACCTGTGAGTGCTTCTGAACCTTCAAAACCCGCACAGCCGGAGCCAGAGCAAGAGTACAGCAGGTAGGGCGTTTGCCCTGCACGCAGCCAACCCGGGTTCAATCCCCAGCATCCCAAGCACCGCCAGGAGTAACTCCTGAGCGCAGAGCCAGGAGTGAGCCCTGAGTATCACTGGGTGTGACTGAAAAAGAAAAGAAAAAAAAAATTCCACCCCCACCCCCACACAGCCCTGGGGCTGCACCAGACCAGAGTTTCACAGCGACACCACGTGGTAAGAACTGAAGTGACAATGATGGCAGCTGGCTGCACCTGAAGTTAATGAGTCAGAACTGAGGAATCCTTGGCCCCAGGCTTTTGCATGATCCAAAGGAGAATGGGAAGACTCCAGGAAAGACTCTGCCTATGGGAGCAAGTGAGGTGGTAGGCAACTACAGAAGAAATATCTCCCAAAAGAGAGACAGAGAGACAGAAACAGAGAGACAGAGAAAACAAAAGCACCTGCCATAAAGGCAAGCTGAGGGGATGGTGGGGGGGGGGGGGAGAAAAGGGGGGTGATAGGGAAACTGGGGACACTGGTGCTGGGAAATGTACACTAGTACAGGGATGGGTGTTGGAACACTGCACAACTGAAACCCAATCATGAACACCTTTGTAAGGGTCTATCTCACAGTGATTCAATTTTTAAAACTCTTTAAAAAAAAGAAAGAAAAGAAAGAAAAAGAAAAATATTGGCTTTGTAGATAGCCTGCACTAATAAACCATAAATGGTTCCCATTATAAAACCCAACCAGGACCCAGACCAATAGTACAGTCGGGAGGATGTTTGCCTTGCACACCCGGCTGACCTGGGTTCGATCCCCAGCATCCCATATGGTTTTCCAACCACCATCAGTAGTAATTCCTGAGCACAGAGCCAGGAATAACCCCTGGGCATCGCTGGGTGTGACCCCACGATGCCCAAAAACTAAATAAAAATAAAGATCCAACCAGAGCTAGCAGCCGATAAACAGCCAGCCATTCCTTCCTTCCTTCATTTCAACTTTTTAAGTCTCCCACCTCTCAGCAGGATTCCTCCCGTTCAGTAGGCACAGACCAGGCCAAGAGGCACTTGGAAATAGGGAAAGACGAGGCAGTCTTCGCTCCTGGTGGTCTAGGAGACCTCGGGCAGGTTGAGGGCCTCCCCCACGCTTTCCCATCCTCCTTCCCCAGGCCTGGGTTCACCCTGGCTCCTGATACAGGAGAGGTCCTGCCTCGCCCACCAGTCTGGGAAACGCATACATAGCGACTCTTCTCCCGGGATTCCCTCAGCCTAGCCCCCGACCCATCCGCATTACCTTTGGTGCCCATGGGCGTGGGGCAGTCCCGGGGCACAGAGGGCAGGATGCGGGTGTAATAGCTCACGTTGGAGAAGGACTCCCAGCTGATGTAGCCGTGCGCCGAGTTATAGGTGGGGGGGCTGGGGATGAGGTTGGAGCGCGCTGCAGAGGGCAAAGAGAAGGATGGCATCAGGCTGCACCCCCCTCCCCCATTCCTGCCTCCCTGATCTCCCTAATCCACCACCATCTTCCCCACCTGCAGGGCACCCTTCTCAGATGCCACATAGGCACTGCAAAAAGCCCGGAGGGAGGTTCTGTCTCCACGGGATGAAAAGTGCGTCCCCCCTGAACCTACCTGTAAGGACCAGGCGCATGAGCAAGTCCCGGATGAAGGTGGCATTGACCAACTCCCAGAACCAGCGCCCGTGGGTCAGCAGGAAGTGGACAAAAGAAGGGCCAGGCCGCAGTGCTTCCCGCAACCAGGTCCAGAACTCGGCTGCAGGCAATAGTGGGGATACCCAAGTCAGCAGCTCCCCAAAGAGGGGCAAAGGGGACGAGGACCAGGAGCATGAATACGGAAGGACCGCATGTAGCCAAATCAGCACCAAGCAAGGGGACAGGGCCGGGACCAGGAATGAGGCCAGGCTGGGCCACAAGCCCAAACCCAGGAGTGGGCTGGGACTGGAGGCAAGGTGGGGTGGGGGTGGGGGGATGCTGGGGCAGGCTATGGGGGCTTCCCAAGGTCAAAGCCAGGTGTGGAGGTCAGAGGTGGGGTTTGGGGGTCTCAGTGGGGCTTGGGGGTGGGGGCAGCTCACGGACGGTGCAGTTGGGGCCCGAGAAGCCCGTGCGGGTGCAGTCACACTGGTAGCCGTCCCGGCCCACACGCACGCAGACGCCCTGGTGCTGGCAGGGGTAGTAACAGCAGGGGTTCACTGCGGGCGAGAGGGGGCACTGTGGGGTCGGGCTTCTCCCCGCTGCCTCCAGCTGGGGGAGCACCTGCAGAGCCAACACTGAGCCCCAAGGGAAGGCCCCCTCCCTCGCCGCCCACACCAGAGGGGCTGGGAGAAGGGCCACCCCAGCGCTGATGCAGAGTCTGATAAGAGGCAGCAGCCACATGGGGCTCCTGGGCTCCCCACCTGCCAAGCCACAGGCCAGCGCAGTTTGGGGGCTCAGGACAGGGCCGGGACTGGAAGGTGGGGGTCCATCAGACCCCAGGCTTCGAGGAGGAAGATGAGATTGCCGCCACCCCTCTCTGCAGAGGTGGACGGAGAGGTCCAATAGTGCCTATTTGCAGGTGGGAAAACTGAGGCCTCAAGACAGGAAACAGCAAGGCCCTCCCGACCACTTCCTCTTCCCTTCACATCCTCCCCATTCCCACAGACCCGGCAGTCACACCCAGGAAGAACCTTCCAGAACCTTCCAGAAACCTGGGAACCATTTTTAATGGGGGGGGAGGGGAGGTTAGGCTTGGGGGGAGGGCATCACTGTTGCTTGGCCTGGTTCCCAGTGGGCCCAGCCTTGGCCCGTGTCAGGAAGGAGTCCAGGCTCTGGGCTCCTGAGGAAGGTTAGAGACCCCAGGAACAGGAAAGAAGGGGCTGGAGAATTCCATACACGGAAAATGCCTCCTGAGCTCTGGGCCTGAGGACCACCGACCCCCTCCTCCGATTCCTCCCTGCCTCGGGGGTTCTTCTGCAGGAGAGCAAGCAAGGCCTCGGAACTGGAGAGGGAAACTGAGAGCCCAGGAGAGTAGGGGCTTGGCCAAGAACAAAGCCGGGTCCCCCTTCTGATCAGGCCCCTGGCGCCTCCCGCCAAATGCACAGTCCCCGCCCCCCATCTGCAAACACACGCCCGGGTCTGGGCCCCGGGCCAGCGTCATATGGTGCTTCTCGTCTTTGTGAAGCTGAATATCAGTGGTCAAGAGGGTGACCAAAGGCAGTAAAGACGAACCATCACTCAGGGCCCTCTCAGGTTACCTGCTCCAATTCTCAGCGTGGGTCCTGGGGGGCAGCAGGGATCCCCACTCCCATCCCCCACTCCAGAAGGGCACTACCCCACTTCCGCCTGTAACACACACACACACACACACACACACACACACACACACACACACAGTCAAAAAAATCATGCAAATAGTTTATTTTTTTCCTGGCCACCCTGCCTGGCCCACAATGGCCTCTTTGTGGTCCTGGAGGAACTCGGCAGATCAGGGCGAGGGGAAGAAGGCTGGGCTCAAAGGTCTTATCAAGCTGACCCAGGCAGGCTGGCAGCAGGACCCGGGCCAGGGAGCTGAGCAGGCCTCCCCCTTCCACAGACACAGGCCCAGAAATACCACGGGGTGGGGGGAGGGGGCGGGAAGGGGGGCAGGAACCTCTCTCCCTCCGCACAGCTGACTCAGGCCTCTGGAACTCTCCTCCCTCAGCCCCCCTGCTCAGAATTCACCTGCCCCTGCGCCCTGACACACAGAGCCCCACCCTGCCCACAGGTCCGGCCAGGCACTCTGCAGGCGCCAGGCCCAGCCCTGCTCTGGGCCCTGCTCCCTTCTCCAACCCACGGGAGAACCTCCAAGGGTTCTTACAGCTACTTCTGAAGCATCCCTCAGCCCTAAAGCTGAAAGCTCTCCCTCCCTTCCCGGGATAGCTGGTCCCCCCCAGAAATTCTCCCACGTCCACCTGACTTTTCTCTCCACCCATCACACATGCCTGTACCCAAAAGCCTCCTTCAAGCTCAGAAAACTGCAAACTGCTCCTCTCCACCAAACCCCCAGTGAGGGGCCACACTGTTGCTCCTTCTACACACACACACACACACACACACACACACACACACACAATGAGAAAGAGAGAGAAAGAGAGAGAGAGAGAGAGAGAGAGAGAGAGAGAGAGAGAGAGAGAGAGAGAGAGAGATGCACACATGTGTGCGCGAGCTCCCAGAATGAAACAAACATTTGTGGAATTAATCAAATGAATCCAGGGAGTGTGGCAGTCCCAGCGTGGCCGCAGAAACCTCCTCTTCCTGGAGCAGCTCCAGAGTTTCCTTTTGGGGTCCGAGAAGGCGCCCCCGGGGACACAGACCCTGCTCCTGCCCCACCCCTCTCCTGCCCGGTGCCTGTTTGCAGAGGGAGCGACACACAGACCCCGCCCTTCCAGCCCGCGAGGCCCAACTTTCTCTCCCTCCTCCGTGATCTTTCCATAAACACCAGCTGCCCCTGGGCAGGAACGTTCTCCCCAGCCAGCGAGGCAGGATGGCAGCTGCGGCGGGCAGTGAGAAGCAGGAAAGGAAGCAGCAAGCACAGCCCAGGGAGCTGGAGATGGAGAGGACCCCTCGCCGGCCCTGTGGTTCCTTCACCTGCTCAGCCCACCCTTGGCCGACTCCCTGGGGACATGGGGGGGAGGTGTTCTCTAGCCATCGGGTGCCCTGAAAGGCAGGAGACATGTCGGAGCTCACGGCTTGGGAGTTGCAAAGCCAGAGCTTGCTTGGATTCTCCTCCCCTCGATTCCTCTTCCTGGAGGGGCCTTGGGAAGGGGGTGAGTCCAGGTGATGCAGGCGGGTCCCCTTGAGTCCCCCAACGTGCACCAGGAGATGGGGAATGAAGGCAACAGCTTCTCCCTGCCCCAATCATCCCACAGGAAGGCCTGGCCGGGGCTTGCCTTGGTGCCCACACACTCTCCTGCCAGTTCTGTGCCCAGCCGAGCACCCCTCTGAAGAAAGCTATCAGAACGGGGGCTGGGAGATGCTGGGTCTGCACCCCTCAAGCTCAGAACGGGGGTGTGGGAGAGGCCACTCGTCACTGGCTTCGTGTCTGTGGGCTCTGCCCTGGCCCTCTCTGTGCCTCGTGCTTCTGCATATCGCAGGAAGTGCCCAGCCAAGGGCTCCCTCTCTGCCCCTCTCTCTTCTCGGCCCCAGGCGGAGTCCATCCATCCCTCTCCAACTTGGGTGCCCAGCAAGAGGACTTGGGCACTGGCTCTCGCAGGGTGCAGGGGCCAGCCTGCAGGATAGAGTGGGTCCAGTGTGTCCTGATGATCCAGGCACGAGTGAGAACTGCAGGTAGTGCGGGGGTGGAGGGTGGGGGGGGGGGGGAGGGAGGTGGAGAAACATCACGTCCCTCTGGGACATGAGCGTCCTAAAGGAGCTGAGCCGAAATCCCGTAAGAATAATATTTACAGAAGTTCCTGGGGCTTGGCAGCCCACGAGGGAAAAAAAAATAACAAGGTCCCAACTAGCCAGACCTGGGCCAGGCCCGACACCCACAACTCGGCAGCAGGGCAGGCACCATCCAGCCCAGACACCCGAAAGCTGGGCCCAGACGGGGGGACACCCACAACTCAGCAGCAGGGCGGGCACCATCCAGTTCAGACACCCGAAAGCTGGGCCCAGATTGGGGAGCCCAGCGGGAGGAAGCCCCCTCCCAGCCCTCAGACTCTGCGGGCAAGTGCTGGGCAGGCATGGCGGCCCCAGGAGAGGCAGCCCATGAGTCCTCTGCCTGTCAGAATGCTTGGCACACAAGCCTTGCCCTCCACACAGATTTCCCCCCCCCTCCATGATGTTCTCCCTGCTTCCTTGCCCTCAGGGGAGTCTCTATCCTACGCCCCGGGCTTAGGACATGGCCACTGCCTTCTGGGGCACATGCCCCAGCCCTTGTGGACCTCAGTTTGCTCTGAGATGAGACTTGGAAACATAAGGACATCTGCTCTTCTGTGTCACTCCAAGTCATTCCATGACACCTCCCCACTTCCTATGGGCTCCATTCCCTCAGACCCGAATCCAGCCTCTCTCCGGCCTTCAGAGGCCCAGCCCACCCCTCTGCTCCAGCTTCAGCTCCTGCCCCCCTTGTTTCTCACAGAGGACCCCGACATCCCTGTGTGACAGGTCTCAGAGCAACTCCCCATCACCACCTCCAAGAAGCCCCCGCCCCTTCCTCCCACCTGAGCAGGTCCACTCTGGGCAAGCCTTCACACTGAGCCTCTGTCTGCCAAGCCCTCTCCTGTCCATGGGTGACCATCTGTTGGTACCCTCACGCCTGTGGCATTTCTGTCTCCCCATCCGACCTGGCGCTCCACCCAGTTGTGTCCAAGATCAGCCTTGGGAATGTTTGCGGCTCCATTGAAACAATTCAGAGAGCAAGATAAGTCGACAGGGACAACACACACACACACACACACACACACACACACACACACAGGCAGGGCCAGAGACCGCGGTCGCCTGGGTACAAGGAACAGACAGGAAGCCCGGCAGCTCTGGACCTGCCAGCCTGGATACGGCCTTGGAGGAAGTGCTGAGCTGATCTGGAGTCTGACAAGCAGGTGGGGAGTGGGGAGAGGCACAGCCCGCTGGGCCCTGGGGATCTGAGTCTCAGGGATGGTCTCACAACCACCCCAGAGGGGCTGCTGACAGCACCCAGGAAGGGGGGTGTCCACGAGGGCTTTGCAAACGGTAGAGCGCTGGCCACGGTCTTCCTGCTCTGTTGCCCATAAACCAGGTCCCAGCTCCCACCTAGAGCCCCGCCATACTCTCTTGCATCTCTAAATGTCACTCCAAAATCTGTTATTGCAACAAAACTAGAACTAGCCTGACCTGCAGTGCATGGTGCACTGTTTCTCTCTCTCTCTCTCTCTCTCTCTTTCTCTCTCTCTCTCTCTCTCTCCCTCTCTCAGATGGGACACCCAGCAGTGTGCTATACTATTGATCCAGCCCTATCTGGCCACCCACACCACACCCTTGGTTTCTTTCCTCCTGCTCCATCCTCTCATGCCTCCATTTGTTTAACAGACGGAGCTGCAGAGAGGGGTGGCCCATAGGGCAGGGGGCCAGGACACCCCCATCTACCCACTCAGAAGCACTAATCTGGGGGAGGAAGAGCCGAATTCCTTCCCCAGGGACTTGCCCTGTGCTGGGGTCCAGGCAAGGGGAGGTGATGGATCTGCCTTTCCCCCTCAACCCGGGGGTATCTGCAAGGTGCATGCACGCTGTAAGCGGGCCCTTGGGTTTGTCCTCCTGCCCACCAGGACAGGACATGGGGAGCAACGCAGCTCTGAGCCTGAGCAGGTCTTTCCACCCGCATGCCTGGGCGCGCATTTCCACTCCCATCTCTGAGCGCGCGTTTCCACCCGCGACTCTAAGCGCACATTTCCACCCGCCTCTCTGAGCGCGCGTTTCCACCCGCGTCTCCGAGCGCTTTTCCACGCGACGCTCTGAGCGCGCCGTTCCAGCTCCGGGGGACAGTGTCCTTCCCGGAGAGCGCTCCACCGGGTTGGGAGTCTCCAGAAAGTTGGAGACTGGAGAAAGTTTGCCCTTTCCCCAGGCGGCTCTCCCGGGGGCTCTTGCAGCTTCCTCCAAAAGAGGACCCCCAGAGGAAAAGCCAGAGACACCCAGTCCCCTGGTCGGGACTGCAGGGGGCCCAGGGAGCGGGTGTCCCTCCTCCTCGCGCGCGCCCGCGCTCTCCTCTGTGCCCTGCTACAGCACCCAAGGCCCGGCCCCACAGCACCGGGGCAAGGGGTGGCGGGGGGGGGGGGGGGGTCCTCGGGGTACTCCCAGCGTCTCACACACACTCAGCCCCCTCCCGCGTCTGGGCGGAAAGGGGAAACCCGGGAGGGGAGAGGCGGTCGTGGGGGGAAGGGAGAGGCGGCGCGGGGTGGTTGCGTACCAGGCGCCCCGAGATTCGCAGACAGGACCTGGGTGGGCAGCAGCAGCAGCAACAGCAGCAGCAGCAGCAGCAGCGGGACGCGGAGCAGGGGGCTCCTCCCTGCGGAGACAGAATCGAAGGTGAGCCTGGCGCCCCAGGAGGCCGGGAAGCCGCGGGGCGGCCCGGGACCCCGACTCACTGCAGTTCATGGTGCGGGGCGGCAGGACCGTGGCGCGCGGCGCTCATTCTGCCGGCCGCCGGCCCGCCTCTCCGCACCCCGCCCGGGCTCCACCCCGCCCGCGCGCCGCCGCCACCGCCGCCGCCGCTGCCGCTGCCCCCACTCACTTCCTCTTGGGGGCCCCCCTGGAGACCGTCAGGAGGCGGCCACAGGGGAGTGAACCCTTCTGCCCTCCCCGCACCCCTGGACCACTAGGCGAGAGGCGCGCGCCCGGCTCTGGCCTCCGGGGATGATGTGCCAACCTGAGATGGTCCCGGGCTGGGGGGCAGAACTGATCCCCAGGCTGCAGCCGCGGGAGGAGAGGTGGGCTCGGAAGGAAGCAGATGCGCCCCTGGCCAGACCCTGGCGGCCTAGCTGGGGAGCCACCAGCCTCTGTTCTGCCACCAGCCTCTGTTCTGCCATGCAGAGCCCAGATCTCATCCAGGAGGCCCAAGTTCAAACCTGGATTGTGTGGCCTGCGTGCTGGGCTGCCTTGGGCCAAGCATTCACCCACTCTGGTCTTCTGTCTCCTCATCTATCAACTGGGGGCAATAGTAAGCCCCAGCCCTGTGAGATCCATCCAGCAGAGACCCACTCTGAAGATGCTTAACTCCTAGCCCACCAGGCGGACCTGGAAGCATTGGGCTCTTCATTTTCATAACCCAGAAGGGGCCCAGATGAGCTGCGGGTTCCCTGAATGTCCTGAAACCCACCCCACAGGTTTTCTCCCTCGGAGAGCCCCGGGGCCCCCCAACCCAATGGGCTGAGGTGAAAGACATGCTCAGTCGTCAGCTTCTGCCGCCCTGAGGGGGGCCCCTTCCCTTCCCGTGACTGTTGCTGCCGCTGTTGCAATGGTCTGGTGATGCCGGAGATGGTGCAGTTCCTGGTGGCGCCACCGAGGCTCCAAGGCAGTGTTCCCACCCCCACCACCCCCTCTGTGGTGCTGAGCCTGAGGGGTGGGTCTCCTGGGCCCTCCAGGAATATCTGGAGCGTGGGAACAGGTGCCCTTCCTCTGTCCCCACCCCAGCTGCTCCCATTTGCACTGGGACTGGGTCCAGCCGCCCCGGGGAGACAGAGCAAGCCGGGGCAGACCCACGCAGGGAGTGGGGCCTGCAGAGAGCTGAGAGCCGGGTCAGGGTTCAGTGCCCCACGGCCCCCCACCCAGGCACATGTGCGGAGCTAGAGAGGAGACAAGCCCGGGTTAGTGCCAGCTCAAGGCAGAGGTCAGGTGCAGCGTGGGGGGTGTCCTGTTCCCCGAGAAACAGGCGCCTCCTGTACCGGGGAGGGCAGCAGGGTCTGGGAGGACGCCCTGGACCCAACAAGCCACTTTGCCTGTCCCTCTCTGCCCTTACTGTCCTGTGGCCCCGGGAGAGGGGGGCGGGGCTGAGGGGTGTGTGTAGGGTCTCAGTTCTTCCCTGGGGAGCAGAGACAAGTCTGCACCCCTGCACAGAGTCTCTGTGCCCCTTGGGAGCTCAGCATCATCAAATCGCCAAGTCCCGCGGAGAGAACAAACCCGGCCCAGTCCCGCCCGCCAGAGCTGGGACCAACCCACCCTGAGCTCAGAGATGGGTGCCAGGAAGGAGCCAGTGCAGGGTGGCAGATGGGGAGCCTGGGACAGGTGAAGAATAAGGGAGGTGGGGGAAGGAAGGACGAGTGATTCGGTGCCACGGTGGCAGGGTGGCAGGGCTTGGGGACCCACTTCCATAGACACCCCAGGAAAGCCACAATTCATGGTGCTGGAGATAACGCAGACGGGACGGGCAGGGCAGAGTATAAATTGGCGCTGGCATCTTGCCCCCTCCCCCCAGGGAGAGAGGTGGGGGCTAGCTCTTGCCCCAGCCTTGGGACAGGGTCACAGGGGCATGACCCAAGGGCACCTTCCCATCCCTTGACTCCGAAGCCTGCAGCCTGGATACCTAGGCCACTGCCTAGGCCTCTGGCCCGTGAACTTCACTGTAGGGTGAGCCTGGCACAATGCTCGCGTGCCCCCTGGAAGCTTCCGCGGACAAGCTTCTTAGCTCCTCTGTTTGGTGGCTTATGAGGGGCAAACTCAGACACTGCACTGGACACAGCAGGCGGAAGGCCCTGCGACCGCTGCTCCCGCCACCCACCTTTCTGGGTCGCCAGCGTCTCTACAGACTCTCATTTTCCGTGCCCTCTCTCCGGGACAGCCAGCAAAGGGTTAACTAGGTTGGACAAGCAAACAAATGCATGAAAAAATCCCCTCACCCCCAGGAGCCAGGGAGCTAAGGTCCAGAGCCAACCTCAGCAGGGTGACAAATACCCTAAGTGACAGTGCCATGCCTCAGTTTACCCTCTCAGAGGTCAAGCTGCAGCCCAGGCCCTGAGGCAACTGGTACCCCTTTGCTGAGATCCCCGCTGCAGATACGAAGGAGGGGTTCTGTCCCTGCCCCCCCTCCCAGCTCCACAGGGAGCCCAGGCAGTGGAGGCCCAGGCTACAGTGCCTCGGGGGAGGTCCTATTCAAGGCCTCACCCACGATTTGGAAATCAGAGCTGACTCTTACCTGAATCACGCAGGACCCACCCAGCCCCACCTCCTGCAGCGACCAACCTCGACCTGGAAGCCAGAGGAAAGCCTGTGGAGTCAGCTCGGCGTCCCAGTGCCCCGCCAGATCCCATGGGCCGTCGAGCAGCCTCTGGCCTCTGTGCCACCTGTCTGTGAGGCGGAGGGACTCACTGCATTCCTGTGGGAGTGAGGAGACAGAAGAAGATGGCCCGCCTGAGCAGACCAGCCCTGCTCTCGGCACTGCAAACTCATGTATCCCCTCTCCTCTGTCGGACCTGCGAAGGGGCTTTTGTGCAAAGTCTTCTGCCTCTTTACCCACGCTGGGTCAGGTGAGGGTTGGACACTGGTGGTAATAATAAAAAGAACATGGGGGCAGCTCAGGACAGAGGTTTGCTGTGCAGGCAGGAAGCGCAATGCAGCCCTTAGCATCATCCCATTCGCCACGTGAAACAGCCACAAAGTGAAGGGGTGGGCCAAATCATTAATCTGACCAGTCACTGTCCTCCCGCTGTTCATCGATTTACTCAAGCAGGCCCAGTAACATCTCCATCGTGAGACTTTGTTGTTACTGTGTTTAGCATATCGAATACGTCACGGGAGCTTGCCAGGCTCTGCCGTGCGGGCGAGATACTCTCGGTAGCTTGCCGGGCTCTCCGAGAGGGGCGGAGGAATCGAACCTGGGTGGGCCAGGTCGGCCGAGTGCAAGGCAAACGCCCTACCGCTGTGCTATTGCTCTAGCATAATAATAATAATAATAATAATAATAATAATAATTAATAATAATAATAATAATAATAATAAGGGCCAGAGCGATAGTACAGCATTTACTTCGCATGCTGCACTCAGGTTCAATCCCCAGCACCCCATATGGTCCCCTGAGCATCACCAGGAGTGATCCCTGAGTGCAGAGTCAGGAAAAAGCCATGAGCATCGCCAGGTGTGGAACAAAAAAAGAAATAATAATAATAATCTAACATTTCTCAAGTACTTACCACACGCCAGACAGGGTGCTATGCATTTTCCCTTCATGCAATTTTCTCAATTGCTCAATCAAAAAGTATCACAGGAAAAGAAACTGAGACTCCGGGTGCTTAAGCCTCTCACCTCACTTGCATATCCAGAGTGGTTAGTGAGGGTTTCCAGGCCCAATGCTTCATTCTGGGGTCCCAGCCACAACACACCTAAGCTCCAGCAGAGCTCGCTGGTACTGGAGGAGACAGAAACTCTCTTAGGGGACCCATTTGGCTGACCTGGGGTGGGGAGAAAGGTGAGGAGAGTCCAACTTACACAACCTTTTTCAGCCAAGTGTCACCAAATTTTTTTTAATTTATTTTTTAATTTCTCTTCTTAACTTTGTACTTGAATCACAGTGAGATACACAACCACAAAGTTTTTCAGATTCTGTTTCAGTCATAGGATGTTCCAAGGCCCATCCCTTCGCCAGTGCATTTCCCACCACCAATGTCCCCAGCTTGCCCCCCATCCCCCACCTCCCCAGTCTGTCTCTATGGCAGGCACTTCTCTCTCCTCTCTCTCTCTCTCTCTCCCTCTCCCTCTCTGTCTTTGTCTCTCTGTCTCTCTCCGTCTCTGTCTGTCTGTCTGTCTCTGTCTCTCTTCCTCCTTCCCTCCTTCCCTCCCTCCCTCCCCCCTTCTCCCTCCCCACTCTTTCCCTTCCTTTCTCTCTCTCTCTCTCTCTCTCTCTCTCTCTCTCTCCCCCCCCCCCCCATTTCTGGGCACTATAGCTTGCAGTACAGGCATTGACAGGTTATCATGTATCCATAATATCCAAGGACAGTAGAAACAAGGTCCAGGAGGACTGGTCCACTGTCGGAAGTTTGCCACAAGTAGAGGCAGGCAGTTAGGCTGGAGAAGGGACCACTGTGACCCTGAGAATTGGAAATGATCACGCCTGACAAGAATTGAGCACAGAAAGGAGGAAAGGAGGGAAAGGGATATACAGAATAACGAGTCAACAGATGCTTTTATCCCTTCCTCTCTGCGATCCCCATGTCAGCTGCCAGAAGAAGCCTCCAGTATCCCCATTCTGCGAAAGAGAAAATTAAGGCAGATTCCGCGGGGAAGAGGAGGCATTCAGATCTCGCGGGAACACCCGGCGCATGGCAGGTGCTTGGCTGGGGCTTGGGTTCCCTTATGGATCTATGCGTGTATTCAGTGTGTCTTTCTTCTCCTTCCCATGGTCTAAGCTGGAGAGCTGGGATCTGAGCCCTGGGCTGGCTGATGTGAACATCGGCAGGCTTAGCTCTCAGCTCACTTGGCTCCCTCAGATCCCAAACCGAGGGATCTTTAAAACAAACACCGCAACGGAGGCAGGCCAAGAAGGCAGATAAACAAGCAGGAGACTGGCAAGCGGAGAGTCCCCAAGTTCATCTGGGGAGTTTCCACTGCAGGGCCCACTGTCGCACAGACCTCCCGACGGGCAGGCGGGTACACATCATCCTCCTTCC